TCTGTTTTCACTTTTGGATAGACACATGCATGTTGTTAAATGGAGTATAATTAGTGGTGACAAATTAGTTGACTCACTGATTTCTCATCTTTTTCTGTAAGTTATTGATTGGAAGTTTAGACAAGACTGAAAGTTGGTAATAATGAATGAGAGGATGTAACATTCCACAAGAATAAATGTGTAGTAGGACAGAGGGTGAAATACCGATTCAGCAGTAATGGAGGGGCTTTTGGAGGAATGCCAGAAAACATGGCTTAGTTAGAAACATGCTGAAAGAACATGATGGGTACTGAGGAGGGTATGGAGGAAGCTGTGTTTGCCTGTCCAGGGAATACTATTTATAGAGATCGGTCACTGGCCGGAGAGCAAGCTAAACAGACTATTTTCTCCCTAGAAATAGCAGGAAGCACTTGTCTTGTAGGGATACTGAAGGCCTTATGAGCTATGGGGACTGATATTCTGAAGTCTTTAGGACTGATTTACAAATATTATTTACAATAAACAAGTGTTGCTGAAGCAACTGGAAGGAAATCTGGAGGAAGACATGACTGTAATGCTCTTTGGTATCATGGGAGTTGTAGTATATGTCCCAGCTCTACCAATAACTTCTGTGACCCTGGATAAGCCATTTAGTTACAGTTGCTGTTGTTTGCCCGTTTCATGCCCAATGTTTGCCTTATTTAAACAAAAAATTCTTTTTTTCTACAATAAAACTCTAATCTTATTGAGATAATTGACCATGGAAAGGAGGAAAAAATGGAATGCAGTTTAGTCGTATGCACAGGTTTGGCTCCAAAACAACGGAGCTGAGGTTTTCTTTCATTTACAAATAAATACAAAACCTGGAAGAAAACAGGAAGGCCACAGGAGTAGTCAAAGTTTGGGCTGACAGGCCAGAAGGATAAACAAAAAATAAAACTAGCAACTACATTTTATATGATATAAATTCCAAAGCTTCCTTCTCACAGAAGGTGGAATTTTGAATATTCCTCATCTCTTGGCTTTATGAGGGACTACAGGAAACAGATTCAACCAAGGTGAAAATTTAAGGCCATGTATTCCTATGCGATGCAAATTAATTAATCAAAAACTTATGTGATAGAACAAGAACTCTCCATTTAGATTCAGAAGAAACACACAATTTTGATATGAAGAGTGATAGGACTAGACAGTCAGAAGTATTAAGACACTTGATTTCTATTGAGTGTTTGCAGATCTGTGTTTAGGTTTTTTTAAATGGATTAGAATGGTTTTATGAACAATGAAAGATCATCTTCTTTCCCCTAAAATATTAATTTCTTATTTTAATTATTTGATACTTCTTCCCTCACCATTCTGCATTTTCTTTGATTGGATTTTGAGAAATATGAAGCCCTCTTTTAATAGAGGATTTTGAAACTACATTGCAGAAAATCTAAAATTTACATCCATTCTGTTCTATTTATTTTTATTTTTCATAATTAAAGCCAGAGTAAAAGTAGACAAAAGAAGCCATTGTGTTGGAAAATCTAAAGCAAACACAGAAGAAACTCAGAAGACATACAGAAAATCCTAAAAATCTTTACCCACAAATTAATATTTGACCAGGGATCACTATTCACTGTTTAGTTCTTCTTCTGTGTGTAACAAAGTGAAACGAAGGCTGTGATTTTTTGAATGAGGCTAGTGATTTGGGGAGCGCTGCTGGATAAATGTGCGTGTCAGTGTTCCCTCAGCTTTCTTGAAAGTCAGTACCTTGCCAGTTGATGCAGGAGGTGTTCACAGATTGATCATTGCGTACAAAGCTTGGCTGAAGAGGAAATTAAATATTCGTGATCTGTGGGCAGTTGTTTTAAACAGCTGGTACTTAAAAAAGACCTTTTAAAAAAACAGCAACAACAGCTATTGTCATTCTCAGCATTCTTCACTTGGCATCTTTCCTGAAACTAATTCCATGTGAATTTCATTAATGTGACTGTTCATCGATCCAATATGCACAGGTGTTTAACAATATTGTAGTAGAGGAAGCCTATGATAAACATAACATCCTTACAGTGGAGAGATGTAAACAAGCTAGGGCCTTCAGCTATTTTATCGGCTTTATTTTTAACCACAGCAGAAATATGTGCTGAACAGAGTTCAGGAAATTGTTCTTCTAGTTGTTTGATTAAGGTGTGATCAGAATTAAAAAACGCTTTCTTGTGTCAGATCTATACCAAATGTAAATCATGCTTTGCTGACGGTATAGGATTTTACAGCTACTGAAGATGTGACCTTTTGACTATAAGCATGAAAAGAAATGACCGTTTTCATTTGTAATTCTGATCTATCCACACTGGACTTCATTCCACGGGGAGAAAACAGAAATTTGTGTTGCTGCTGCCAAATGATGTCTATAATCTGTGTGTTTCTTGAGCACCTAATACACAAGCAATGTAAAATGTAATTATATCTTACCAAATTTGCCAAGGAGTAATGCCTATGTGAATTGTAATTCTTCCAAAACGTCTCATGTGAGACGTTTCATATATAATCATATATATCATAGATAGGGATCCTGATTTCAAAAGCTTATTGAGACCTTAACACCTCATTTTCTGAGACACATTTATTATGGCACTCAGGTTATATCAAAGATATCTTTCCGAGTATTTTACGTGCATTTCTTGTCTTTTGTTTTCTGGCATAGGTCCAAGCTGTTTTGAGAAGACACTGGAATCAGTACAAAATCCAATTTGAGCACAGCTTCAGCCATTCAGACGCTATGCGCACAGCTTCCTACACTGTATCATCCATCAGTGATGTTCAGGGCTACAGCTACAATCACGACTGCACCAGTGAACATTTAAATGGGAAAGGCTACCATGACATGGAGAATGTTGTTTTAAAAACCGAAAAGCTGTATGGATGACTGCCAAAGAATCTGCATATGCCAGAGTGCTCACCCTCATAGCTCATGAACTTGAAGTTTGATTTAATGACTTCATGGCCAGCAGATTGTGCCTAACTTGGGATATGTTTTCCTCCTGAATGATGCAAATTGAAAGAACACATTTTTCGTATGTATATGTACATATGCATATACACATATGTTTGTGTTTCTGTGTATCTATATAGTATGGACATCTGTGCATATATATGTGTGCATATATATATTTCTATATATATATATATATGCATTTATATAAATACATATATAAGAATACAAACTTTGCCTCTTCAGTTTCTACTGTGTAGACAAAGTTGGCAATTTTTTTGTACAAAGGGAATCAATGAAGGATTTCTTATTTTCTCCGACGTTTGTATAAAGACTGTGTTGTATTGAAGCCACTTCATTTGCCTATAGAAACTTAGTGTAAATACCATATTTATGAGACTATATTGTCTTAATTCAACCTAGAACAGAAGAAAATGGTTGGTGCAATAACTGTGTCCACCATTTGACTGTCATGAAAAAACACGTAGTCTAAGATAATAGACTCAGAAGTATTGACACTGAGCCAGTTTGGTTTTGCCACTTTTTTAAATCAAGCATATACGTGCCAGTGCAAGTCTGAGACTCTACCTACTTTTGTACAGCAACGGAATATTTTACAGTAAGCTTTGAGCTATTTTATTTAAACTGTTCTCACGTACACAGGAGTGTCTCCTTCTCCTACTCAAGTTTATGGAAGTTTCTAATTGACTTCAATGCAGACAAGATCTATGAGGCCTTACTGCCAGAAAGAAAAGTGCTAAGCAGAATAACTGTAAGTCCATCCCGATGCTAATCAATAACGGAAGCTGATGGAACTTTATTGTGTGCTTAAGCAATTACCCAACTGGGAAAAGATCATGTACAGATTTTGTTGTTATTGTTTATGGTGGTTTGGTTTTATTTTTAAGTATTGCCTTGACCATATGCCTGATAACTTGTTCCTTCTTTTTTGAGCAAAATTCTGATTAATTTATTTTTTGACTTTGTCCGAGAAAAGCATGCAAGACTGATTGCAATCCAAATGATATGCTGCCTTTAAAGCCAGTGTATTAGATTCAGCTTAATCAAGCAAATAACTAATGTTAGTAATTGTTCATTATTGTTTGCGAAATTCATTATAAAGTTTGACTCATAAAAGTTCAGAAAATTTGGGATTGATAATTTTGATATTATTTTGTGATGCTTGATTCAGAATCAGTCTCAGTTACTTAGCTTAGAACAGTGCTTCGTAAGTTGTTTCATTGGTTCTACTGGCAAATAAAGGTCTCCTCAATAAAAAATGATGAGGTTGTCAGGAAGGTCTTGTAGGGAAGGGAATGTAAATCTTATGCTTTAAAGACATAGTATAAATTGTTTGTTTTTTAAGTGAAATGACCAAAAAAAATTGAACGTGGGAGAGCATGATATGAGGTGGGTTTAAGTCTTACTAAAAAGCACAAAAGTAGAAAAAAGTTTTATTGGTTAATTTTGCAGATAAGTCTGCTTCAAATGAAAAAAAAAGGTGGAGGAAAATGGATGTCACAGTTGATATAGACTATTATCATGCTAACGAAGATTAAGTGTACTTATACCAATAAAAAACTGAAAGGTCGTTCTTTCTGAGACGACTTCGGTTTTCAATAATTAATTTTGGATATGAAGAACTTGATTTTAACATTTAAACATTTTTTTTGTCATAACCTTTCAGTAAGCTTCATTAGTATCTAATTAATTTCCTGTCACAGTTTTTTGGTTTGTGACTTCACAAGGCTACAAATGCTTTTTATTTAGAAGGAAAACATTAGGATGATGCAGTAAATTCATGCCAATTGCACCTTTACATAGGTTTTTACAGTTTTTATGTCTGGTGTTTGAATTTAGAAAGTAGTCTTGTGTTTTATTAATGAGTTAGTTTCATAATACTCAGCCAGGATGCACAAATCTGTTCTTCTGCAAGGCTATCTGGTTGATTGATGCAAATTATATGACAGTCAGATGCTTTACTTGCAGTAGTGTGAAATTTGGCTATCAGATATCACAATCTTTTATACTGTAAGAATACAGCCATGGTATCTGTTATAACATGATTAGAATTTATTTACACGTGTGCTTGCTGAGCTACATATTGTTACTTAAAATTTGTGCAATGTTTGGAAAATATGAGTGGGTGCAGAAAATCCCTGCTCTGGTATAGCTTTACACTTTGGGGACCAGATCATCAACTGGTATAAATCAGACATGCTGTCTTGTCAGTGAAACTCAGTAATTTTAAAATTCACGATGATTCGGCTCTTAAGATCCCCAGTCTATATCCTAGGTCATTTTCAGATACCTGACTTTATTGAGCTCTGTTTTCAGAATCAATGGGCTGTAGGTACCAGCTGCGAATCTAAGCCCAGGCAGATATCTAGCTGTTTAAAAGTGCTGTTAAGCCCTTCATGTCATATAATCAGACAATTATTTCAGTGTTATCTGGTAGGATGTAGTAATTAATTAATACATAAGTGACAGTGGGGAGTCTAATACAATATTAAATTCTGTGAATTCAGTTTTCTTCTCAGCTAGGCAGTTCAAATTTAAAGTAGACTATAACCAAATTTGTATCATTCAACGCAAAGTACTAGGTGCTGACAGCTCCCTATCCTGTCAGAGAAACTTGTAAGGGGAACTTAGGAGGGAAGAAAAAAATGAGTTTTTTTTTTTTTTTGGCCCAGAAATCATCCTACTACTTCTGGGTGGACAAGCGCAGCATGCTTCTAGGAGCGCTTGGCTTCACTTTGAAAAAGAAACATACGTACAGCTGGATATGCAGTAAAATGTGGCTATGGAGGGTTAAATGGCATAAGAGCACTACAGTTCCCCACTCCTCATGAGGTTAACTGACTAACTAACTAAGCTATTTCCTATTTTGCATTGGAAAATATAAATTCCCTATTTCCTCTTCCTACCTCATCTTTCTTTTTCACTTCATACACAGCCAAGAGCAGGGTCTGCTCCTTAAAATGTTGTTTTGTCACTATAAATTAAGATCAAATCCTTATGTTTGTATTTCTCATGGCTTATTTTCTACTTTACAGAATGTTGTAGTCATTATCTATGTTCTGTGGGAATGGAAAAAAGCTCTGTTTTGGTGGGGCTGAGAGAGTCTTTTGAACATGCAAATATTTATCTGTTATTTGCGCTTTATTTGTTTGTTATCTAGTGAGGATTTATTGTATCAGTCTGAAAGGGGCTAGAGAAACATCATCTGCCTTGTTTAGGAGCTTGTCTTATGTTTGGTATCTAATATCAGGATGTTTGTTGGTTTTCCATGAGATGGAATGTCTATTTTTAATGCTACTGCCTTCAATTAATAAAATGCCACAGATAGCAACAACTCGTGCTCCATTGCACGGGCCCTCAGTTTCTTTTTTTTTAATGTTAACTTTTTTGCTTTGTATTTTTCACTGTGATGGTCGATTTGGAGGTAGACATGCTGCATGATGTACTCCTTTTCATGTCATGAAACATTCAGGCTGGAAATCAGGCAACTTTCAAGTAATGTACTATGTAAATAAGATCAATAGATGCTACAACATTGTATTTATTGCTTAGGCTAAGAAGGAAATGGAAAAAAAATGTGAAGTAATTTTTGGTTTTGCTTTATTTTCACTTTGTTCATATGAATCATCATGCATTTTAATTGCTAAAAAAGTATTATGTTTGTGATCAATAAAATACTACATTTATTCAGCTCTTTTGTGTTATAATACAGAAATAACAAAGCTGATCCAAACTATGGCTTTCACAGCTGTTTCTTAACTGTATGTTAATTTAATATAAAGCTAGGGAGAGAATCATTACATAGAATTATTAACAATTTTGTCCAGTTTTTAATGTATAGTAGGTCCTATTTCTGGAGGAGACTTGCAGAGATGATTCAGTATAAGATGGCTGCATTTATGATTATTTACTCAAAAACATCATACTTCTGTTTCTTTGGCTCCTGAATCTATCTTTTATTAAAAATTTATTAATATACAGTTATGTTAAGAAGCCAAATTTTCTGTTCCATTATGAGCTAGCAGCAGAGGAAGGACTGAAGTAAATACATCTTCATTCTGTCAATATAGGTTGAGTTCCTTTAAACTGGACATGATGCTCAACCAAACCCCAACCACGGAGTCTCCAAGTCAACTATCTGTACAGAAGCCAATTGCCTGAAACGTCTCTTGTACTAGTAAGTGAAAAAATTGGTCTCTGCTTTTAAATGCTGTTTCAGTTTGTAATAGCGCCAAGAAGCGAAGTAGCAGAATAAGTGAGCTTTTTTTTCAGGTAGGATTGATGGTGTCTACACAATAGCTATGAATGACAGGCATGTTCTAAATCTGCAGAATTGCACCCTTTGAATAATCAAGAATCTCTAACTTTAGTTTAGGGAATTTCCTGCCAGCATGTCATTGCTAAACTTTTGAAGGGTATGAGCTGATGATAAACCACTGTAAGGGAAATGCCAAAGTACATGGGCACTTGAAGTACAATTTGAGTTAGTTAAGCTATCACTCGCTCCACTTGCACTTCATCAGGATGGGGTTTAGCCATAGCACTATATGGGTGTACCACCTCTACTGGGGAAGAAATGTATTCCCCTTGAGCCAACTCAGGTCTCTGTACACACTGCTGCAGGGCTGAGTTTTATAACTTTACCAGCTTAAGTAAGTATGTCTCTAGCCATAGTAGAAGACTTGTGAAATTTCAGCACCTAACTTCAACGGAAATCTGCACGGATCCTGTTTAACTTGCTCAGTCGTCAGAGACTGAGGAGGTGTTCTTTTCACATGCCCTCAAGCAAATCACGTTAAATTTAGATCCGGACAGCCTAGCTGCTTCCCAAGTCAAACATACTTAGTGTTTTGAAATTTTATCTATTTGCTTACTTAATCATTTACTAATAATTTGGATGAGTTTCTACCATGCCTACTAAAAATCTGGGCAAAAAGCTTTACAGTAAGCTATAAGCGATCTTCATTTTTTTGTTCTCAGAATGCTGCTCTTAGACTTTAGGTATAGCTCAACAAATTTTTTCTTCAGCAAAATTTTAGTAAAAAGCTTACAGGAAATCACCACCTAGAATTGTTAAAGGTATTAACTGGCTAAAAAAACCCATTTTCTTTCTTACCTATTAGCTAGATTTCCTATTAGCCAGGAAAAGGAGTTCAATATTGCACTTAGCCTGTATTTCCTCATTTCAGAGCTTTAGTTTACAAATAACCACATCTGATAATTCTGTTTACAGTTTCCTTGGGATACCTAATGTGCTAGAAGATTAAAAGCTAAAATGTTATGAAAAGCCTCAACTATAAGAAACAAACAAACAAAAAAAAGCCCAAACTCTATGGTTCAGGGCAAGGGGAAGCTTGGTAATTGATAGCTGATATTAAAGGCCTTGCTATAATAACAGCTGTCATGTCCTCGCACCCTTGGCTTGTTTCCAAATGTGAAGTGATACAGCCCAGATCAGCAGCTGGAAGTAGGGCTAGTAATATTACTTTAATTGATAAGTAAATCTCATTTCTGTTGATTTGTGATATAATATTCATACTTTATTCTGGTAATAAATAGTTCAATTACTGTTATATATTCTAAGCTGCATAAATTAATATATGACATTATATAGCATAATATCATAAAAATGCTACTAAGTATACTGCATTTTTTTTTCTTTAATCTAAAGCTTTCCCAATTCTTTACAAGTAGAGGTAGGTGTTAATACCCCATTGTACTTGAAGAAAAGGTGAAACATGGATTAGTTAAATGGTTTAACCAGTGATGACTGGGAATTAGTCTGTGTCCAGCTGACTGATTAACAAATTAGGACATGGAATGATGGAGGACCTCAGTTATTCGAAAGCTTCCATACACTATGAAGGCTCATGTTCAAGACCAGCAAAAGCGCAGCGTTTTCAGCCTGCTTTCTCTATGTTAAATAAACACTTTGGATATTCATCTTTAGGGGGGAAAAAAAGCTATTTTTTTTCCACTTCTTTTTTGGGGGAAAAAAAAAGCCTAAGAAGTGGCTGCAGATTGGAGAAGTAATCAAACAGGAGATCAAAGAAATGGGTTATTAGCTTTTAAAAAAAAATAAGGAAGACTACAGAGTTTAAGGGATTTATAGGGTGATGCTTTTAGGAGATGATAAAGAAAATGGAGAGAAAGGAGACTATGTTTTCATTGCACATGAAGCTATAAGCACTTAAGTACAGCAGAGTGAAGGTGACTCCACACTTTGGAAGGGAAGATATGTACAAACTGGGCAATCCCACATTGCTTTGAGAATGATGATTAAAAATAAAAAGAAGTTCAAAATAATGCAGAAACTGAAGTAGGGAAGGTTGCATATGACTCAATTGTTTTGTCTAGTGCTTTAATTCTTGGAAAGATAGGAAATAATATATTTTTTAAACATTTCTTTAAAAAAGGAAAATAAAAGCTGCACATCCACTAGCTTCAAGTGAGATCAGAATCCCTTTGAGGTTGGACGTCAGAAAAGCACGTGTGTTAGTGGCTGAGGGTAGAGGAAGAAAGAAAGAATCATGGTCCTTGGAATTTAAAACAATATCATGCTGAACTCTTATTTCAGCAAAGGAATAAAAGCAATCCTGATATAAAGATTTAGGAACTTCAGCCTAATTAAGCCAAGGAATACCTGAACACACCGGGTTCTTTCTTAATACTGGGTCTTACTGCTACTGTCTGTACAGTACCCATATTTTATACTATGCTTAATGTCCAGTCAAGAAATGCAACATCTCCCAACTCCCATTCCTGACTCTTAAGCAAGAAATGCCAGGTTATTTTGTAGTCCACTGCTTCCCAGGACTGACTGTCAGTCAGTGGGAATTGTTGCACACTTTATAAATGCTAGTTCAGGTCCATTTACTCCAGCTAAGAGGATGGCTTACAGTTCTAAATCAATGCAAACAACTACTCATATCACTTGCTGCTTCTCAGTGATATTGCAGATACAGGGTCCAAAATACTACAGTTTTATAAATTTGTATAACTATATAAGAAAAAAAAGCCACACCAGCCACTCCCCCCCCCCAAATCCAGATGTAACCAACCTCTACATTTTGTCCCCCATTCCTTATGCCCAGCAGTTAGTTAAAAAGTAGCACAAACAGTATTCACACTAGCATTTGCAACTGGAGTGTACATGCCTAAGGCATGTTAACAGAGTATTTTGCTCCCTAAAGAAAAATAACGCATGGCATCCAAGCCTCTGTAGATAAGAGTAAATTATCATTTTTTACTATCTTACAGTACATTTATTTTAAAAGAAGAAATACCCTTACAGCACAAATAGCCTTTGACATTCCAAAATTATGTACTATTTAGCCTTGCCAACAAATACATTGGAAAACAACTAAAACCCCAAACAGATTCCTATTACTTCCACAGAATATCATTACGTTATAATAGCCATGCCACTGTCTGCAACATATGCAGATGACTTACTTCCTCTGATAATATTCCAAGTGCTCTACTAGGATATCTTGCACGGTCCTGTCATGGCAGTTACCATCAAAGTAAAAGCTCGATACAAAGTTTGGCTTTTTATGGCTATTAGGGTTGAAAAATTTATGTAAAGAAAACACAGAATTCATGTGAATGCATAGACTGAATAAAAGACACTCACATTCTTAACACTAAGCCTGCACACTGAGGACCTGGGCTCAAAAAAAAAAGCTAAATTAACTACCAGAATTAAAATTCAAATCCTAGTGCATGTGTGTGAGTTTGCTGTTTTGGAGCTACTTCGGGACTACAGCATGACCTCTCCTCACCAAGCATCACTATTTATTAATATTTTGTGAAAAGACAAGCTGGAACTAAATGCAAAACTGTGCATCATATCCTATTTTGTCTGCAGCAACAATTTGTCTTCAAGCCTATATTAAGAGACTAGAATACGCAAGCGGAAAACTGGGAAAATGCAGGTGGTTGTGACTATATATATATTCCATGAGGTTCAGGCATCTATCTGGCTGCTTCATGCTACTGTGAAGCTTACGAAGAGCTAAAACACTAGCTATTGTACCAGGACAGAAGCAGTGAGTATAAAAAGTTATGCACTTTAGGAATGACAAGTTAGTTATTATTTATATGGCAATGGCAGTAATTAATACATACAATGCATTTAACACCTAAGCAAACACAGGTTCTGACATGACCACCTTAAAAAAAAAAAAAAATCCTTTTCAAATCTCACAGAAAAGCCTGAGTAAGGTCTATACATATTCTACCCCTGTAAATAACAACCAATGAACAAAGCAAAAGCTGTTTTCCCTGTCCCTTCATACTTACACATATACGTTCTCTTTCCAGTAGCCTAGCTGTAAGCCTGGCTAGAAGTTCAGCGCTGACAGCCTCCTGGTTATAATTAGAATGATTATCATCCCACAGTTGTATTTTTTGTAATGGCTTTTAAAACTTATTAACTAAATGAAGAATTTAGATTCATTGACATTGAGTTCATGCTTCAGTTGAGACAAATGACATGATTACTTTTTAAGATAAATTCAGTTTTATCACTATCCAAAATAAACATGTGCACACTAAATCAGAAATGTATTTACAACTTCAATTTCTAATGACTATTCCAAAGATTTTTTTTTCCTCAGTAACATATACCACTGTCTAAACGAAAATTTGTACGTAAGGAAAATATCTTTTGATTAGTGCTAATCCCATGGAGTTTAATACACTATTTTAAGTGAATTAAGAATAGAAACACTGAAAAATTAAAGTCTTTCAATTATGGTTAATGAAAAACTGATTAAACATTATTGTCAATTTCTGGAAATTCAGGTTTGCACAATCAGTGACCAAAAAAAAAAACCATAAAAAACAAAGGCAGGCATAAATGTATTCTGTGTCCCTGGCGCTGTCTAGTTACAGCAAATTTTTATGGTAAGTGCAGTCACCTGGGATGCGGGAGATCTAGACTGAATTCTTTACCTCTTCTGGATCTAGAGTTG